GCCCTCTATTTTTGTTGCAGTTTGGCCAGGGCCAGGTTCAAACCCACCACTTTCACTATATGGGGCCAGCACTCTAGCTACTGAGCCACAGGCGCCACCCTCATTACCTTTTCTATATTAAAAACTATGGATATGGCCAGGCATGGTGGCTCATTCCCATAATCCTAGCACTCTGGGAAGCCAAGGCAGGTGGATTACTTGAGCTCAGGAGTTCAAGACCAGGCTAAGCAAGAGCCAGACCAAGTTTCCACTAAAAATAGTAAAGCTAGTCAGGTGTGCCAGTGCACACCTGTAGTCCTAGCTACTTAGGAGGCTGAGGCAAGAGGGTGGCTTAAGCCCAAGAGTTTGAGGTTGCTGTGAGCTAGGCTGATTACATGGCACTCAACCCAGGGCACAGAGTGAAACTGTATTAAAAAAAAAAAAAAAAAAGAAAGAAAGAAAGAAAAGATGTGTCCATCAGTGCTGAGATGATCTGATAAGCCTGTATGCATATTCATGTTTCCCCAAATCACAGAACTTCTGGGCAGCCAGTACAGGAGCCAGAAGCTGGCCCCTAGGATATTCTGAATTTCTTTTTTATTGTATGTTATCTGATTACTTTTCCCAAATGCTGAGCCACTGGGATAGAGGTCAGAATATGCACTTTTCCATGGGCCAGGATAACCTGTGTTAAAGCTGAGCCGATGACATTTCCAGAAAGGCTAACTGAGCAAAACACTTCACTAACTACCTGTATCTGAAGACAAATATGACACACTTTTTTTTTTTTTTTTTAAATGCAACAGCCTCACTTTATTGCTCTCGGTAAAGTGTGGTGGCATCACAGCTCACAGCAATCTCCAACTCCTGGGCTTAGGCAATTCTCTTGCCTCAGCCTCCCAAGTAGCTGGCACTATAGATGCCCGCCACAACACCCCACTATTTTTTAGTTGCAGTTTGGCCGGGGCTGGTGCCCTACCCACTGAACCACAGGTGCCACTCACAACACGCTTTCTTCAAGGTCAACTTTTCTGGAGTGTAACCAGCAACTGGCCAGGAGTGGCAGCTTTAAACACTCACTTTGAAATACTGGCACTCCCTCAGGACATCTCTCAGAGTGTCAAAATTTAACCTGCTGCCAAAGCAAACTCTAAAATGAACGCATAGTCTTTATTTTCTTTAAAAAAAACAAAACAACCAGATTTATTTAGTTTAGTTTAACATTTCCCCTGATCTAAAGAAAAAGATGTTAAAACCTAGTACATACACACAAACATCCACGCCATGAACCCAGATAACCTAAAGAAAAAAGGGCAAAGTTCTGTCCAACAGAGAAAATTATCTTCGCTTCTGGAATATGTTTCCACGTCCCATTCCACGTCCTCTTCCCCTCGCAGCCACTGAAAGGAAGGAAAAGAAAAGATGAGGCCAGAATTAGAGAATGTTCATGGCACAGAGCAGGTGGAGCCCTGGGACATCAGCGGGAAGGGACCTGAAAGGTTACCTGGTCTGACACCACCCTGGCCATTGCATTTCATGTGGGGAAGGGAGAGGAATGAGAGAGGGCCAGGCTGGGGATGAGTGTCACACAACATTGCTCTCTAAAGGCTGTAAGCAGAGAGCTGCAGGCAAAGAAGGTGGTCTGAGAACTACACAAAACATGAATTCCCAAGGTTGGCCTAGGGCATGCAAATAAAACATTACTCAATACACACACTTTTTAAATGTAGAAACAAATGTCATTAAGTTGACTATTTTTAGAGAGAAGTCTCACTCTGGCTAAGGCTGATCTTGAACTGGTGAGCTCAGGCAATCCATCTGCCTCAGCCTCTCAAGAGTGCTAGGATTACAGGCATGTGTCTAAAGATTCATATTCAAGTACGAGGAACTTTGAAGTTAGAGGCCCCTTTATAATGGGTAAAGATGCTTAAAACTGCTTTCCTTCTTATCTAAAAATGGAACCCACTGTCAGCATCTCCCTAAGAACATGCTGGGTGTCCACCCACATTTCCCAGTCTCTAGGAAATGCTGCCCCAAAGCTTCATGAGTCAGCTCACTGACACCATGGTGTGTCTGCTCAGAGAACTACACGAGAGCAAGATGTCCTTGACCTCTTGGACAAAAAGGGCCTCCTAGAAATTAATTATAGGAGATTTACTGTCTCTTCTGACAGGGATCCCACCTTTTATCTAAGGTGCCACTTTAGATTTTGTGTAAGCCTTGTGACTAGGATGAGAAAAGGCAAGACAGGGAAGGCTAGGCAAGCCTCCCCGACCCCCACTGCCTTCGGGATCTCCCTAGACTGCAGGAGAAGGGGTGCCAGTGGGTATGGATATTGCAGAGGTGCTGTCTGTTTTATTCCCAAGAAGTATCAAGGCCTTTTTCTAAAAGATAGAAGACAAGATCATATGTGAAAACAGGTGCCTAAGCACCTACCTTGGGCCTTCAGAATAGCAGCTTTTCCCCGACCGGCCCCTGAGCCTTGATTTTTATTTTTCATGCTCTTTAACATGGGTGCATTTTTCAGCATGTCAGGTAAAATCAGAAAGCGGATCTTGCTGCCACGGATGTACACTTGCTCCAGCTGTGCCACACGCCCATCTCTGTACGTGACTGTGATGTTGGACATCTGGAAGGAAAGCACCAGCTCATCATGAGCAGCAACACACCAGTGGAGGACAGGGCACACCAAGGAGGGGAGCCTTGGCTGGTGGGAAGGGGAAGTGCAGAAGGGGCAAAGACTGACACTATGAAATACAGGACACAGGCAAAGCTGGTGAAATGTAGACAGTTCTTGGGTTATGAACGAGACAGGTTCTGTAGGTTTTTTTTTTTTCTTTTTTGAGACAGAGTCTCAAGCTGTTGCCCTGGGTAGAATGATGTGGCGTCATAGCTCATAGCAACCCTCAACTTTTGGGCTCAAGCGATCTTCTTGCCTCAGTTTTTCTATTTGATTAGAGACGGGGTCTTGGTTTTGCTTAGGTGGTCTCGAACTCGTGAACTGAAGAAATCCACCCACCTTGGCCTCCCAGAGTGCTATGGCCTGTAGGTTTTTAAGTTGCATATATAAGTTGGAATAGGTACATTTACCTATTATCTGCATTAGCCTCCATTTCTAAGTCAATAGGATGTTTGTAACTCAGGGACTGCCCGTACCACAGAGTCAGTACTCACTGTGTATGTTTGGGACAACACAGAGCACTTGCAGCAATGGTCCTTACCACACCTCCAGGAGGTACAAGTTTAAGTTCTCCCTTTCTTTTTTTTTGAGGGGGGGGGCGGAGACAGACTCTGGCTCTGTGGCAAAGGCTAGAGTGCTGTGGCATCAGCCTAGCTCATAGCACCCTTAAACTTCTGGGGTCAAGTGGTTCTCTTGCCTCAGCTTCCCGAGTAGCTGAGGCTACAGGCACCCACCAACATACCCGGTTAATTTTTCTATTTTTAGTAGAGACAGAGACTCACTTTGTCGCCCTTGGTAGTGTGCTGTAGCATCATAGCACACAGCAGCCTCAGCCTCCTGAGTAGCTGGGTCCATAGGCACCCGCCACAATGCCTGGCTATTTTTAGAGGTGGGCACTCTTGCTCAGGCTGGTCTTGAACCTGTGAGCTCAGGTGATCCATCTGCCTCTGCCTCCCAGAGTGCCAGGATTATAAGCATAAGCCACTATGCCCAGCCTCAGACTGGTCTTGAACTCCTTTTTTTTTTTTTTTGAGAGATTTGTCGCCCTTGGTAGAGAGCTGTGGTGTCACAGCTCACAACAACCTCCAGCTCTTGGGCTTAGGCGATTCTCTTGCCTTCACCTTCCAAATAGCTGGGACTACAGGCGCCCGCCACAATGCTTGGCTATTTTTTGTTGCAGTTTGGCCGGGCCAGGTTCGAATCTGCCACCCTTGGTATAGGGGGCCGGCACCCTACTCACTAAGCCACAGGCGCCGCCTTGGTCTTGAACTCTTTTTTTTTTTTTTTTT